TTATTCGGATCACAAGGCTTTGGAGAGCATCATCAAGGTGGGTGAACACAACGCCCGCGTCCAACGTTGGCTCGAGTTCCTTTCCTCGTTCAATTACACCCTTGTCTACCGCAAAGGCACTGCCAACGCCAATGCAGATTTTCTTTCGCGGTTGCCCTTGCCGGCGACACGGTGACACCAGTATCGCAGTCGATGACGCCGCGGGCGTTTATCTCATTCGTGCGTGCGGACGGAGTTATCACTCTAGTTCGACGCCGAACATCGGCTTGGGTGGGCTCGACATTGACGATCAACGAGACGCGTTGGCACACGCGCCTTTGACGGAGGATGACTTTGGGGATTTCCGCCGTTTTGGGCCACAAATGGTCCTGCCGGCTCCGTCGCCCTCCTCCGTAGTTGACTCGTCGAAATTTTCGCCTCCTGGTGTTTTCGCTGTCGTTTGCGATGCAGCCCCCGAGAGTTCTGTGCCCGATGGACCTCCTCCGGCTTCCGTTTCTGCGGAGCCAGACGTCGCTCCCTCGTCCGCCGTCGGCACCTCCTCAGCTGCCCTGTCGCTTTCGCGTGGCCCTCTGATTTCTTCTCGTACTCGGGCGAGAACGAATTCGGCCTCGGGCATGGCTCACAGCCGTCCCAATTATTTTCCGAAACAACCACGGGCCGTTGTGGTGCCCAGAACGCCGCGGCCTCCTCGAACGCCGGCCCGGTCGAGCGGTGTCGCGCGGTCTACGAGAGCCGTGGGTAGCCCTACTTCTGGCCCGCTGCCTTCTTCGGCGCCGGCTGAATTGCCGCCGCCGCCGCCGCCCGCGCCTGCTGCCGCCACCCCGGCGCCACCGCCGCTCGCGGCGCCCACGCCGCCAGTGTTGTCGCCCGCGGGTACTAGCCCTGCGGCTCCCGTGGTGCCGCCGACGGCCGCTGAGGAAGCTCACCTCCGCGACTGTGTGCATACATTCTCGCATGCCGATTGGGCCCGAGAACAGCTGTCAGAAAGTGAGTGTGTAGCGGCTATACATTTTTTGTCTTTGGGATCCCCGGCGGTTTTGCCGGATACATTCTGGGATTGCTTGCCCTGTGCGCGACGGCCGGCGTTGTCTGATGTTGTCGCCCTCGCATCTAAAACATGCCTGCACACGAGACGATGGTACGCGATTGTTGGTGCGAAATTCTGCCCCACTGCCTCTCGGTAGTTCGGGCGGGCGTATCACTCGCCTCCCGCCTTCGAAGACTCCGCGCATATACGTGCCTATGCTGTTGCGACCTTGGGTCCTACAAGCATGTCACGCCACCGCGTCTTTTCACCTGGGCACCGCTCGGACTTTACGTATGTTGGAGCGATTTTTCTGGAGGATTGGGATGGACTTGTCCGTTCGTTGGTGGCTTCGGCACTGTTTAATTTGCCAAGCGCGCAAGACTTCCCGGCAAACGTATCGCTGGCCTACGCTCACTCTGCCCCTCCCCAATGGGCCGGGTATTGTAGTGAGGGTCGATTTTTTTGGGCCATTGCCGGTCACGTCCCGTGGGAATGCATATATACTTTTGTTTACGGACCGTTTCAGTCGACGGGCGGATATGTATGCCTCTACCAAGGCGGAATTTACCGCTGAGGGAACTGCTAACATTTTCGTCAACCGCTACATGGCGTTGTGGGGTTGTCCGGTGACTCTTTTTTCGGATAACGGTATGCAGTTTTGCAAGTTGTCCATGGCTATTTACGAGCTGATGAAGATCAAGAAAGTCACCACCAGTTCCTATCACCCCCAAACTAACGGTGGGGCGGAGCGTGTTAACCACACCATGGCTCAAATGCTTGCTATTGTGGTCAATGAGCGTCAGGACGATTGGGACGTCCATCTTCCCCATGTCGAGTTTGCATACAACAACCGGTAAACGCCGCCACAGGTTTGGCGCCAAATGAAGTGCATATTGGACGGTTGCCCCGTCTCCCGCTTTCTATTTTGGACCACCCTAGCGTGGGTGGCCATCAAAGTTTGGATCGAGACCAGCTCGCTTTCTGCAATCTTGCGGTGGAACGCCAGAGACGAGCTTACGCGTTGGTGCGGGAACAACATGCGATTACGGTGTCGCGTGTCGAACTTCGGAACTCTGCTCTGTTGGACGGTCTGCGTCAGATCCCGAAGTACGAAGTTGGTGGTTGGGCTTGGGTCTACAACTCCGCCGCTACTATTCGGCAGGGGGTGCGGAAACACACCGATGATTTGGTGCTCAAAGCGGAGCTTTCGCTCAACTACACCGGACCGAATAAGATCCTTGCCCTTGGCCCGGCCAAAGCGGAGGATTCACCGGATAGGAAACCTGTGGAGCGCAAACTTCTATACTTGGACTTGCCGTCAGACATGCTGGGACCAGAATCCCGCAACCGTGTCTCAGTCTTGCGGTGTAAACCGTGTACCACCCCATACGACACGGATGGCCTGCCTAAGTATATGCCGGCCAATCTGTCGAAATATGTTTTGCACTCGCATAGAAACAAGTCTCCCCCGTATAATTTGACTGCTGATGATATTTTAGCGGAGTCTAGTCGTCTGGATGTTGAGAATATTTCAGGACACCAAATTGTACGTGGACGCGGTGGTGTGGTAGCCGTCTTGTACCTGACTCATTGGATGGGTTTGTTGACACCGTCGTGGGAAAGGGAGTCTGATTTGCAGGAATACAGAAAACACATTCTGCTGTACTGGTCTGGTAACGCTAGTCTGCGCGTACAAGGAAACCGAGCTTATCGTAATGCTCGGATAGCTTCGGCCAACCGAGAACTTGCTCGGAATCAGGCCGAACGTTTCATTGCTCCCGGGTACGAGTTGGTTTCGGGTGACACTTGGTTGGCTCACTTCTCTGTTTCTGTTTTGCCTGTCGGAGCCCACATTTGGTACAAAGCTTTGGATGGACTTTTGTGGCTTGGGCAGATTAGTAGTTTCGTAACAGGCCTGTACATTGTTCGATTTTTGGACACCCCCGGCCCTCGAAAGCTTTCTCTCCCGGAGTATAGTTACTCCACGGTTTTGGATGCTCCTTGTGGTTCTTGGTGCTTGCAAAAACACCGTACTCGTGGTTTGACCAACCCTTCCACGGATGATGGCGTTACGTCGCGAACACCAGGCGTTGTGGCACAGCTGGCTGTTGCCCCATCTGGAACTGTGCTTTGATATCATGCCGCCTACGGGCCGCTACATGTTTTTTTGTGTTTTGTTCTGCATCGTACGCAGTGGTACGCTAGCGCGTGTTTGGGTGGTGTGAGCTTCTTCTATTGTTGCAATAGTCACCCCGACCTTTGCGTGCCCAACGCGACCGAACCCCGTTTTGATTCAGACTGGTTCCGTCGTTGGCGATGTGATTCTCAGTAGTCATCACTGTGTGGTGTGGGGATGGTTTTGAGTATTTGTCGGGGATGAACTATTTTCTCCGACCCTAGTTGCTTTTATTTTATCTTATTTTTGTCTGATTTGGAAAGTCGCATCTTCGATCTTTACTTGAGGTTGAGTATTGGATTGAAGATAAAGCATCTGCATCTACGACTTCCCAGGGTGGGCTAATGTAATGGAGCAACTAGTGTATTTGCATTGTACGAACGTTTCATGAGCGTTGTATGAGCGCTTATTGGATATTTGAATTTTCTTTGGATATGGATATTTGGCGACGTTGAGGGATACTGAAGTAGCTTGAAGGAAGATCAAGATCCCAGCCCCGCTCCCTCACTCTCCGAGTGGGCGCTGAGCGGACCTGGTCTAAGAAGGCTAAAACAAGAGATCAAACAACAACTGTGAGTACCCGAAGCCAGGAGCAACGAACTTGCTCCCTTCCCTCTTTTGTTTCTCTGTTCCTCCATAACACTCTCCAGTAAGGAAAAAGTCCCATTTTTCAAAACGCTCCAACGCGGCCAAGACTTGTTCTTTTTTACCAGTTCATTTTTGCGTTGTCCGTCAGCCCTCTGGCTTCCTTACCAGCCCCAACTGTTGAAGTCAAGCACTAACTTTCAACCGGTGAATTACAATAAAGGAAAATAAAGTTTCCACTTTGGGACAGGATGACACGCTGAGGAAAAAAAAAAAAAAGTGCGAAAAACGCGAAGAAATAAGTGGTCGTGCCGGGTTTCGAACCCGCGTCCAGAAAATCGACGGGTGTTCAGAGTTGTGCACACTACCAAATGTGCACTATGTTCCGGGACAGAGTGGTCGGTGTTTTCGTCACCGTGGAAATGGAACGTTTGGTAGCGCGATTCATTTGATGACAGGCGCCACCGAAGATTGGAAAAAAATAATTCAGGCACACCTGAAGGTGGAGCACGGCCACCACAGCGCAACGATTTATTCAAACAGACGGTTAACATCGGACACTAAAGAAGGGAGCAAGATGTCTGAGAAGTTGGAAAGTTCAACACGCAGGTCGGAGAAGGAAGGGCAAATCATGGGCGCCTACCTCCTACATCTCTATTCAATTCGAACTCTCAACATGTTTCTCCGTGTCCCAGTCGCACCTGTACTGAAAAACTGCCGGGAACAAGTGTGCCAGGCGCAAACGTATTTCGGGAAGCGCCTTCGGAGATGTTCGAGATCCTCCTCTCTCACCGTATGCTTCTTGCGAACAGTTGTAGGGATGTGATACCATGGTATAGGTAGGTGCTACCAGTCGAGCGCTGCCCTGTGATGATACCGTTTCCGATGGAGCATGTACATCGCGCAAAGTATTTTAGTCGTGCATCTGCACGCAGGGGGTGGTTCAAGGTGGTGAAAACCAAACGGGTGGGCCGGGGAGACGGTAAGTCGAGCTTCGTATGAAGCGTGGTTCCCCCCGAAGACATCTTCCGTACGTACATGAACTTCCCGCATACCATGGTATGTTTTTATGTCATTTACGTTGTTATTCTAACATTCAGAACTTACTGAAATCTATTCAGAGCCTTTTCTCCCCTGCGAATTGATGTAAGTCACATGCTACCGCACAACAGGTAGGTACAAGAAGTCAACCGACTCCCGGGAAAAGCCCGAAAACACTCGCAATGAACTAGGGAATCTACAGAGAACAAGCAGAGGAGGGAGACGACAAGGCCTGACAGAACGAACAGCAAAAAGAACAGGAGAGCTCAGTGCTGCTCCACTCACTCGTGAGCTGAGTTTCTCACAAATCCTAACAAGGAGTACCACCAAAAATATATATTAAACCCGAGGAAGCTATCCTCGCACTCCATAGTACCTGAACCGATACGGCATACACAAACCTAGCGCAAATTGGGATCATCTACAAGCTCTACAAAAGGGACACAAAAATACTGCAACCCGAGCAAGGCTCGGATGATGCAATTGTGTGGTATGAAATACGGCAACGTGCGTCGGGTCTTCGACACCCAACGACTGCCGCCTAATCGGAAACAGTAGCAGATGTAGTCGCAGCAATCGACGTTTTTCGTTTTTTTGCATCTATCTATTGCCGGCGTTGGTAGGTAGTTTGTTGTCACCAGACATGCAAAAAAAATCACCGGCGTCTACAACAGCCCGACGTGCCAGTCGTCGCTTAAAACATCTACAGTCACAACCTGGAACAAATACCTGCCCCAAAATTTCTCCCCATGCTTGGTACCACATCTTTGTGGAGACCGCAGCACCAGCAAAGAACGGCCGTCAGGTAGCACACAAGCAGTTTGCGTGCGCCTTGGCATTACCCCGATGAGTAGCCCGATCAAGCCAAACGCCGCATTGCGGTACCAACGTATGTATGCACTTCGGGTGCCTTACTTTGCCACACCCGGACTCTCTGTTCCCCTCGGCAAAGGTAAGCGCATATCTCGCCTGTTTAGCACATACAGACAAACCCAGGCTGAAAAGATAGGGGAAAAAACAAGTCAACCGCTGGCATCAGCTTATACGTACGATCCCGGGATGGAGAGCACCACAAACAAGCAAAAACTAGCACTCATCCCTCCCGCCAAACAAAAACATACAACGGTGATAGCTCTCACGCACAGCAAAAATGTTTTAAAAGCACAAGTGTTTTCAATCTGGTATTTCGCCCCACCCACCAAATTAACCCCCCCTACCAGGCGACGCACACGCGCGGCGCACATACATATCTCATCAGACTACGCGTACGCGAGCCATGAAATCGCAAAGATCACGCCGCCTCCTGCAAACGCGCTCTAACGTCAACAAACGCTCTCAATTTCTGAGAAACACAAACACGGTGTTGTTGTCCACGAACAAGACCAACATCTTACTACTCTGAGTCACCCGTCGCTATGAGCTCCCACAAGGCAATCATTTCTTCCTCGTACGATCTCCTTTCCCGGCCGCCGACCTCCCCCACAAACCACCCCCCTTCCGCCGCAGTAGCGCCTCTGCCTACAGCCACCGCCGCCGCCGCGGCGGCGCTCGGAGTCTTAGAGAGGGTGGCAGGGCCACCAGAGAGGGTCGCCAGAGCGATCGCGGCGGCAGAAGCCTCGCCCGCGGTCATCCCCGACGGGCCGCCGGTCGTTGCCGCCGCCCGCCCCTCACGCGGCAACGGCAAGGGCGGCGCCGGAGGCGCCTCCAATCCAACGGCTGGACCCGCCACCGCTGCCGCCGCCGCAGCCGCCGCCGCCGGTGACCCTTGTCGCGCACACCGCTGGGACATGTCAGGGGTGGCGTCGTCTTCGAGAAGCATCTCGTTGCTCATGAGCTGCAGGTCGCTTGATGCCGCGGAGGGAGGAGCGGCGGGCGGAGGGCGCGGCTCGCCAGCCGAAGGGGCCCCGCCGCCGCCGCCGCCGCCGCCGCCGACTTGCCACTGCCACGGGGGCGCACCAAGTCCTACGCTGCCGCAAGGACGGGGCGCTCCCAGCGCGCTGACGGGAAGCGAGGGAACAAACTGGCCGCCGCTGGCGGGGGCGGACGGGCTGCCGCTGGCTTGAGCCCCCGGCTGCTGCTGCTGCTGCGGCGGCATGCCCCAGAGTCGCGACGTGAGCGTGCCAGCGGCGGGCGCGACCGCCTGCATTGCTCGGACGCCTCCGGGGACCGCGACCCTCACCGGCGACACCTGCTGTTGTTGCATGGCCATCGCCAGCGCCGCGGCCTCGTGCTGAGGCGACGCGGCAACGGGCGTGGGCATGCCGAGTTGCTGCTGTGCACGGTGGGGGCCGTAGAATACGGGAGCCTGAGGCGGGGTGCTGCTGCTGCTGCTGCTGCTGCTGTTCCCGAGGGTAGCCTGGAGCGCGGCGGGGTCGCCATGCCCGTGGCGCGCCGCCGCCAATCCCACCAACCCCAGGTCGTCTCCGGACGCGGACAAGCTGTACGTCGAAGTCGTGGCACCACACTGCTCTTGGCTCGGCCTACTTCCAACGGGCAGGCGGCTGCTGGCGCTGGCGCCGCCAGCGCTTCGGTCCCCACCACGCCTGACCTCCGCCGCACCGCGAGCGGCCGGGGCCGTAATAGCCGTCGCCGCGGCGGACAACACCCCCAGGCGCATGTCCTGGCGGTGCCCGAACGACGGGACTTGGAGCGGCGACGACGATGACGGCGGCGGGTTCTGGTCGCCGGTGCCCCCCCCCCTAAGCGGTGCTACGCCATCATCTGCTTGGCAGGCGGGCACCGCGGGGTTACGAGAACCGATCATCGTTGCCGCACCACCGGCGCCGTTGGGGGACAGCCCCCCCCCCGAGGTCGGTGGTAGCGTCGGCCAACAAGGGAGGTACTCCTGCGCCCACCGCCGCTCTCCCGCCTCCGCCGCCGCCGCCGCTGCCGCCGCTCCTTCTGCCTCCTGGGGTCCCGCCGCCGCACTCCCCGGCAAAACGGCGGCAAAGGGGTGCTGCTGCTGCTCGGCGAGACCTGGTCGACCCGCGGGCATGACGGCGGCGACCGGCGCCGCCGAAGCAGGCCCCGCGTCCGGCATGCGACAGTCTTGCGGAGAAGAAAGGTGATCCTCCGGCGGGGAGGGAGGCGGCGACCGCAAAACAAGGGCCGAGCTTCTCTCGCCCTGCGGTGCCCGTGTCATCGGTGGAGCTGCTCCGGCGGTGGCCGCCGCCGACTTTCTCTCTCCTCGTGTCGTCGTCGTCGTCGTCGTCGTCATCGGGTGATTGTCGTCGCCGCCTTCTCCGGAGTCGGCCGTAACCGCCGCGGTGGATCCAACCTCTCCGGAAGAAAACGAGCGGCGACGACCGCCCTCTTCTTCTTCTTCCTCCTCCCCCTCCTCGCCCGCGTCCACCGCCGTCCCCACCGTGGCTTCTTCCCTCGCCAGTCCCTTGCTCATCTCCACGATAACCTTGGCGTGTCTCCGACAGACGGCGTGCGAGCAGGTGTCCGCGTGTTCGTCGTAGGTCAAGGGCCGCCCGGTGGACTCCGAGAGCCGGAGCTCCCTCGGCGCCACCGCCAACAGAAGCTCGAACTCCGGGCGCTTCCCGAACGCCGCTAGTATCACCAGAGCCGCGTGGAAGGCGTGGGGTTGATACTGACGAGGAAGTGTGCGTGGTGGGGAGTGACGAGAGGGCAAGGTTAAACAACCAGTTTTTGTGCTTTTGAGGCCGGATTGGGTCGGTGTTATGCATGCCACAGCCGCGCCATTTTTCAAGGATTGCCAATTACATTGCTTGTCTCCATTCACCCAATTCAATGTAACTAAATACCAGGTACCTGAAAAAGAGGAGGGACCAAAAAACAAGCTAGGGTACAAGCTAGGGTACACATCTATTCAAAGAAAGGAAACAACAAGCGGCGTAACACGAAGTGTGAACCCGCAACAATGGTCAACACCGATAGATGAAATACTTCATAGATAACCTTGTTCACGCATAATCAACCTCATTGGTGTCGAAGGTACATTGGCCGGGGGCAGGGGGGTACGCAACCGGGGACGAGCAACTCCGCGTTGGAGCGAGCATGTCCGCCCCCACTAACAACAACACTTCGCGCACAAGAATCTTCGTTCTTGTCGTAGACATGCCATCCATGGAAAAAAACGGGTTCCCATTCTCCCTCCCACGAAAACGGCACGTCTCCACACACACACACATACACACTTTTGGACATCGGTGACCGGTCCTGTGGGAACATTGCTCCGTCCGCTCGAGGACGCGTGGTCAATGGTCTAACCACTAAGGCATGCAAATCATGAGCACCCCCCCCCCAATGGAAACAACAACTTACTCTCGCGAGTCCAGGGCAGCGATAAGTGCAGTTTGCCACCTCCCTGCCAACGCGTAGCAGTTCCGAGAATTCGTGCAGCGCGCAATAAAGGCCGATCGAGGCAGAAGCCAGCGCACAGACGGCTATCCCGTCAAAAGGACGCGTCTGCTCTCGTTTCGCATTTATTGGTGCGAGTGGGTTTGCAGGGGGGACGCGGGTGCGATAGGCCGGGGGGGGGGGGGGAGTGCTTAGGTACAAGGGCGAAGAGTGAAAAACGGGAGCACGGGTAATGAAGCTTTCGCGGCAAAGCAAGGAAAGGGCGGGGGGCGGTTTCGACCGGAACATGAACGATGTGCGGACGCCCGCCGCTCCGCGAGGGACTTTCGCAAGCGATACAAGCCCACCTGCTGCCCAAACGAGCGTCGGGTATCGATTTTTTTTTTTTTGTATCCGGACGTTCCGAGTTGAACCGGGCAAGAGGTCTGCTCACGAATTGACTACCTTCGACAAACTTGTGGAGCCTGGATAGAGACTGTCGCAGAGAGGCGAGCATGGGAATCGTGGATTAGACAAAACCACACTCACGTCTAGCCAATTTGCACTGCGCCGTTCCTCAACCAAGGCCTTCTCCGCAGTAATCAGCGACTGAAGCTCGGACAGCTCCCGCTTGGTCTTCTGGGCGGCCTCTTCCACGCGCGCGGTCCACGACACCCGGCTCAACATCGCCATGATGTCGGAAACCATCGACATTGGGTCGGCCCTCCTCAGCCGCCGCCGCTCCCTCGCCGCCTCAAGCCCGGGCGGGCAAGGGGTAGGATAACCCGCCCGCCCCCTCCCCCCGCCTCGTATTTCCGTCATCCCCGACAACGCCGGGGGCGCCGTGCTGGCTTCGCCGCCTCCGCCCCCGGAGGTCCCCTCCTTCGCGCCACCTCCGGCGGCGCGCGTCGGCGCCGCCCGGCTCCCG